AAAGGAAGAAATAAGTTAGCCAGGCACTAAAACAATTAATTTCACTATAACTGTGTCCCTTCTTAAAGTTTTCTAGTTCTCAAAACTCACTAATACATTACTATTTTGAACAAGAGTCCAACAAACTGAAGTTTGCCATTTAATTAATAGCAAAACACAAATGGTTTAAAAACATCAGCACATTTACAAAACACTTAATATCATTCAGATTGCCCAGGGAAGTTAGAGATGCTCCATTTCTAGCAGCGCTCAAGGCCTGGCTGGACAGGGCTTGGAGCAACCTGGCCTAGTGGAAGGGGGGTTGGAACCAGATGAGCTTTAAGGCCCCTTCCAAGCCAAACCATTCTGTGATTCTATGCTTCTTTTCCTTGAGAGAAATCACAGAGCTCTTAAATACAGGCTCTTCACTGAGCTATCAGACTTCCTCGTATTAGAAATCAGGAAGGCACCACCGATCTAATCAGATTTCCAGTAACATGCAGGCCCCAGACAAGCCTCAAATCCCATTTCAACAGCTTCATTCACAACCATTTAACAAGTATATTCAGTTACTTCCTTTCCTTCTAACTCTCTCAGTGCTTCTAGAACAAGGTAGTACCATGTCTTCCAGTCTAAGCCACACACCTCCTCCTTTACTACAGGCTCAATCCCTGTTGTTAGCAGTCGACAGATGCTGAAAAATGACTGGAGTCTGTTACTTTGAATTACAAGCAGAAACCAAAATACTCATCTTTCAGAACTACAAACAACTAAAATTGCTTATCATCAACAATTTGAAACCACACCTATGAGTAAACAAGGAGTGGACTGGTAAAACAACTCCATACAAAGGATAATCAAATGATTTCCCAAGGAAGCTTAAAAAAAATAATGCACTTGAGTCATATTTCCACCTTTAAAGAGGCATTAATACAACTTTTAATGCCTAACACTACAGATCTAAATTCTGTCATAAAAGCATTGATTCATTTTTCTTTACTAGAAGACATAAAAAGCAAAACTGTAAAGAAAATTATATTCTTCTATACACTTGTAAAATTGCACCAGTTAGAAGCTTACTCATTATAATAGAGCCATAGTTATGACAATACATACATCAAGAGTAATTAAAATGTTGAAGTCACCATCAAATGATCAAAAGGAATTAGAAAAATGCACATAGTAATGAATGGTGCAGATTTCCCCAGGAAAAGGGAGCACTTTCCTTATTTGCAAGTACATTTTCTGTGCACGTGAAAACACGTACCACCTACAATATTGTTTCACCTCTCATTTTTCAACACCTCTGCCAGAGACATAAATACAGCAAAAATGAAATAACTGTGTAACAGCTATTCATAGAATCACAGGATCATAGTCTAGTTAGGGTTGGAAGGGACCTTAAGATCATCCAGTTTTTCAGGGAGGAGGGGAAGCTGTGAGGAAGCAGAGACAAGTTGCCTGACTGGGTTTAAACCACGGCACATGGCAGGGCTAACATTAAAAAGGATTAAAATCTCTAGTGTACGAGATAACGTACAGTCAAAATCAGCTGAACTTTAACTCTGTGTCCTCTTCGCACTTTTCAGAGCATCAAACATGCATCAGCTCTGCAGCTAACAGATGTCAGACTGTCATTTATAAATCCTGCATTGGCCAGTAAGAATGCAAAAATCCAGAGTTACTCCTACCAGAGTAAGGGACTAAAGGTAGAGAACATTAGAAATACATCATCTCCACGCTTATCTATTTACATTCAATCATTATCTAAGAAATAATTCTTATCAAAACATCACTGAATCATAACATGACTAGCTGTCCTCTGGTAACCTCACAGAACATAGAATTATAGAATGGTGAGGGCTGGAAAGGACCTTACGATCGTCTAGTCCCAACATTCATGTATACATACACAAAACAGGTTTACAAGTCTATTTATTCCTCGGGCCTTTCCACAGATCCTAATAAATCAGTTTTCACAGACAGGATAACCATGTTTTATCACCACCAAATAGAATACACATGGATATACTAACTGGCAAAGTATATCTTTATAGAACTGTAGCAGCACAATAAAATGCAGATCATTTCCTGACTCTCCCTCAAGCTCCTCTGCAACATCACCTCCCTTTCTCATCGCCAGTGCCATGCAAGTCTGCAATCACATATTACACAGATCAAACTCTAATCACACGAGTTCCGTAACACACTAGAAAACACGCTCCTCCTCAGGATTCTAATGCTCCTAGACATGCTATCCATCTCTTTTTCCTGTTCTTCCCTAAGGATTATAAAACATACAAGGCAGGCACACATGAGCAGCAGCACTTGGAACCAAATCTGATTTACAAGCCTGCTGTTCCCAAGTACAGGACTGACAGAGATGCTGTGCAAGCAAATGCCAGTGAGGTACTTAAAATAGGGTATCCACTTGGGAAGAGATTAAATGATTAAGCTCAGTGTTGCTGCCAGCTGCTAGTAGCAATTTGAAAGGCTGGAGATATGTTTATGAACTCAAATCAGGACTTTTTCCCACCTTCCTGCTTCTTCTACTACAATTTGATAAAGCTAGTCAGGAAGACAAGTGAGAATGCCACTGTGTCTCTGTGCCAAACAACCATCTCCTATGAGACTACAAGGCTATGAAAGCTTGATTTTGCCTGTAACAGAAGCTAACAAGCAAACAGATGTGAAATCAGAAAGTCGTATGTCACTAAGCCTGGCAGCAGCAGCATTTCACACATTATATACACTGTTAGCATGTAGTAACATACCAAACAACTTGATATTTAAAAAAAGCCCCTAAACTTTCAATTACCTTTAGATGCCATTTAACATCTTTTTCCCCTACTAACAATGACCCCACGTTCTGAGCTGCATGTGTTACACTGCGATACAAATGCTGCCTTTTTGCATTTTACCTCATGCAATACAAGAAAGCTGGGGCTCTTCAGCCTGGAGAACAGAAGCTGCGTGGACACCTCACAGCAGCTTCCAATATCTGAAGGGGGACTATAGGGATGCTGGGGAGGGACCCTTTTCATTAGGGACTATAACGGGTTGAAACTTAAACAGGGGAAGTTTAGATTGAATATAAGGAAGAAGTTCTTTACTTGTAAGGGTGGTGAGGCACTGGAATGGGTGGCCCAGGGAAGCTGTGAATGCTCCATCCCTGGTGGTGTTCAAGGCCAGGCTGGACAGAGCCTTGGGTGGCATGGTTTAGTGTGAGGTGTCCCTGCCCATGGCAGGGGGTTGGAACTAGATGATCTTCAGGACCTTTCCAATCCAAAACATTCTATGAATATGAACTTTTTAGGCAAAATACCTTTGGTCACACATTTTGCACTCTGTCAGAAAAGAGAATAACCTTCCAGGAACTGAGTATTTCACCACTATTCATTACATCCATGCTATACCAACCTCTTTTTGTCATTTTCACACACCTCTATTTCAACTTTGATTTATTTCAAATTGCAGGTACTAAATAGGAGCCTGTTAACATATCAAAGCTTTTTCATACATTGCCATTAGGACTTATAGAAATATCCATTTGACACAAAATTTGTTTGCCTACTGTTCTTGCTACACTTAGCTTTCAAGGATGAATTTCAAACATTGTTTCACTGTTACACAAAAACCTCATACATGTTTGGGCGCACAAGCAGTTTCAACTCAAATATTCTGAAAGCTACAGGAAGCTCACAGATGGACAACCAGCCTCATCTCTTCCCTTTTAACCTTATCTAGAAATAATAGAAGACTGACACACAAAATCCTCACACTCTAACAGGTCTGCAGGAAAAGTTAAGCCATTGCTGCTCAAAGAGAGAAAATGCATTTGATCTCACTGCAAAATGAAACTCTGATGCCTGTGGCAGTGCTGGAGCCTAAGGAACTAGACAAAGTTCTACCAAAATATGTCCACCCTCTTAGGAAGTAACTGAAAATCAAACAGCTGGGAAGGACATTAAAAAGATAATTAACTTATTTAGTAATTTTATTATGATTTTTCTCTATAGTGACATTAAATGAAGTGACTTAGATGTGCTCCCACCTCTCCAGAAGTTCTCACCCATCCTCAATCTTCAAAACCAATGGATAATGCGTTCCTTCAAAAGGGCAGAACTTTTGGTATCTTATCCAAAACCTGGCTTAGGTTTTGCTTACTCCATGACTGCTCAGGAATGGAGCCAGTCAACAACCTGATGTATACATATCTGCAGTTATTTGGAATGACTGCTTAAGGAAGTTTCAGATATTCACAGTAACCAAAAATGCATTTGCATCATATTTAGTACTAACCCCCCACACCTCATCTTTTAAAGAGTAATCTCTTACATTATCCTTTTGTCACCTTCTCTACTTTGAATAAAGCTTACTAACCAGATGACTAAGGCATCTCACACAGTATTAAACATTATAACTTTCATTACTGATACAAACTACCAATAGAAGTTGAACGCCGAAACATAACAAACTTACAAGTGAGGATTTCACCCACCACCTCTCATGGCTTTTGGCTACCCCTGAATCACTCAGATCTTGCTTCCCCCTTCTTCATGTATTAGTAACAAACTTCCCATTGGTAGCTGAACTTCAGCACCTTCTCTTCAGTGAAATCTTTGCCTTCTGTATCCTTACATTTTATCCAATTTTGGATGAAACTTCAGCTCTTCCAGTCATTTCTTTCCACAAAATCCGATTACTGGTGTGTCTTAACTAACTTCACATCCTTAACTCATCAGCAACTTCCATTAGGATGCTCCTACTCTGTGACTAATCACAAACGTTAAATTATCTTTAAAAACACACAAAAAACCCAGTTTAAGAAATCCTACACAATCAAGCAACCCAATTACCTATTAAACAAGGGAAACAAACCACAATCAAGAAACTGAATGTTTGTGTTTATTTCCCAGTAGCTTTCTAGGTTTAAATCTAAGGTTGTAAAAGACACTATTTCAAATAAACTCCATTTCCAGCATTACATGAAACTGCAAATCCATAAACACAAACTGTACCTGCTTTTCCTTTCAATGAGAATAGCCATGTAGGAGGCAGGTAATGCAGCACCAAAGCCAGGAGACCAGATGTAGAATTTTCCAAGTATCTTCCTGCAAATGTAATTTGTACACATATTACATGCAAAGCAACTGAAATATTCACATACAACAGCATAGTTTACTTTTATTATAAAATTACACACACTTAAGATTCATTTTGTCCCTTTACATTAATCACCACTTACAAATAAATACTAATTATGCTGGTTTTAGAGTTGGACAGTTCTCAGAGGGGTTCTGGAAGAGCTTCATAACCATGAAACACCTGAAGCACTGCATTAATATATCCATTTCATCTGAAGGATTCCTTTGCTCCAAAGCAAGCAGTGCTTTCAAGAGATGGTTCTGAAAAGCTCCACATACTAATCACTGAAAAATCTCCTGTAAGAACTCTTAGTTACTCCTCCCCCTGCTAATATTCTAAGCACATTTTCAAGAAGATGTGCTTTATGGAATATAGGGATACAATCAGGTGAGCCAGAAATCAAATCAAATTAATATCACAGAATCATAGAATGGTTCAGGTTGGAAAGCACCTTAAAGTTCATCCAGTTCCAACCCCTGCCATGGGTACGGATGCCTCACCCTAGACCACGTTGCCCAAAGCTCTGTCTAACCTGGCCTTGAACACTACATGAGATAGTCAACTGATGCTAAAAGCAGTAAACCACTCATTTACAGCAAGCCAAGGAATCAATCTGTACATTACAGCAAGTGACATGCCAGTTCTAGTAAGGTGGGAAAGCTCTCATTTTTTGCAACAAGATCTGGATTTCACTCAGAGAGTCCACAAAATTCAACCAGCAAAATTAATCCAACAATAAGTTGAAAACAACAGTTATACAAATAACAGCTAAGAAAATATTTCTCTAAATTGGTCACTGTTAAAGGAAGAAAACCAAAATGCATGTCAGAGAATGTCACTGACCACATTTGGTCTGCTCAGGACACCTGTACCATCCAACTAATTCAGGGTGATCACAGAAGCAAACAACGGTCAGGGAGTCATGAGATTTGGCAGCATGATAATAAGCATACTTCAATTACACCAACACTGCCAGGTTGGTAAGAATTACTAATGCAGGAAAACATGGAGTCTTCCACCCTTCCCAAAACACAGCAAACAAAAATAGCAAACACATATAGATACAGACATAAATACAGGGTACAAAAGGAAATGTCCTCAGGTAAAATTTCATGCTGACAAAACAGAAGAACAAGGATAATCAATACCATCTGATTAGCCCATTTTTAACCTTGCTGTAAAAGGCCTGATCAGCCTCATTTCATACTTCTGCACAAACAGTATTACCAGTGAGCAATGCCAGCTCATGTTCATAACTGAAAAGAGAGCCAGTGTATCAGCAGCAAGTGATGTAATGGCAATTACACACACTGCTCATTCCCACGGCTGCAGGAGGAGAATTTCTCAGGATGACAATGCCAAATGCTGCAGGAGCTAAAGTTCATTATTAGGACTCTCTCAGAAAGCAATTACTGTATGAAGTTTCAGAGAAGCCATCTGAAATAAATACGAACACATCTTCCCAGACACACCTGTTAAGTAACAGAACAAATGCCTTTTTCTGTGGGAAAGAAACAGGAATTTGTTCTTTTGGCATGGTTTAGAATCTCTCTAAGAATGCTTCCATGTATGGTTTGATAAGATTTTGAAAACAACTGGAACATTTTGCATAGTAAAACCTAGTGGAAATTAAAACGCCCAATCAGCTAAGTGAAGGATTTAAACTTCTGCTAAAGTAAATGAAAACAAGGGGGCTTTCTTCCTTATTTACATGGTTATTTTCACATGGTCTATGGTTAGAAATTGGAATGAGACGTATGAGTTCTTTCAGGTTATGCACCTAATTCCTCAATGTATAACTGTATCCAAAACTCAAAAGCTGGTGGATACATAAGGCTGAATCTAATTAAGTAGGCTAATCTAAAGCTGTACACAGACAAACTTAATTATTCTAGTTTAGACTAAGAGAACTATGTCTTCATGAGGTTTTTCATTTAATAACCCCAAAACCTAACAATCCCACCTCTCATGTAACAAATGTAATGCTTGTCAGCACTGGAGCCTCGTACTTCTGTCTGACGCCCAGACAGATGTAGTCTTCTGGATCTCACCAGCTGAAGAGATTACAACCTCCAGCTGGCCTATCACACACCCCTACCAGAGATCAACACTCTAGTGCTCTGCCAACAGAGCAGTCTGTAGAGACCCCAGTTCACTCCAATAAGTAAAGAGGAGGGGGTAAAACCCAGAGGTCAGCCTATAAGGATGATGGGGAGGGACTCTTCATTAGGGACTCTAGTGATAGGACAAGGGGTAATGGGTTCACACTTAAACAGGGGAAGTTCAGACTGGATATAAGGAGGAAGTTCTTTACTGTAAGGGTGGTGAGGCACTGGAATGGGCTGCCTAAGGAAGTTGTGAATGCTCCATCCCTGGCAGTGTTCAAGGCCAGGGTGGACACAGTCGTGGATGGCATGGTTTAATGTGAGGTGTCCCTGCCTGTGGCAGCGGGATTGAACTGGATGCTCTTAAGGTCCTTTACAACCCTAAGTATTCTATGAGTCTATGATTCTAAGTGAGTTTGGTAATCCCTTCTAGGCTGAGAACATCTATCCACAGCCTAAGTCACTGCTACTATTGGATATAGATGGTTTTGACATTTTGCCCACATATGAAATGGTGAGAATATTAAACAATCGTGCTTTATTGCTTTAAGCTTTACATCCTTGAAAATCTTTGCAGCAGTTTCAATTTTGGTGGTTTTCTCTAGCTGAAATATTACAAGAGCACCAAAATGACATATTAGCACAAGCCAGACTTCTCAATGACAAATTTCATATTGAGATATTTTAATTGCTACTGGATGACTAAGATGTATTTTCAGTACACCCACTGACTGAAGATTCACTGCGACTTCAGTAAAGTTACAAAAAGATGAAGACGTCACTTCACCCAGGACACCCTGTATGCCTGCCAATACATCTCCTGCTTGTTGCTACAGAAGAAGGGAGCAGGCAATCCTTCTCAAACCAGGAATTGTGCAGGTAAATGTGAGTTAACATGTCCAGCTACAAAGCCTTTAGTATGTTGCTTTGGTGTAGAACTGCAGGAGGATAAGGTCAGCAACCTGCATGGGACATAGATGCTCCTGAGTAACTGCTGCTCCCTCTGTAATGTACCTTCCAAGCAAAAAAGATGCAAAAAAGATGCAAAAAAATGTAGCGTGTATCCTATTATACAAATATATCACATCCAATCTCTCTATTACCACTATCTAGAATGAGACTTAGAGGATCTAAGTCTCCACAGCCTTAGCCAATCTCTTTGCATGGCTGCAAATCAAGTTCAAGGATACCCAGGCCACAGTTACGCAGAACACCACAGAGATACTGGTATTCCTTTGATGGATTAAAACATACAACATCAAATCACATTCCAGACTGGAAAATCACATGTAATTATATTTGCTCTCAGGGGCTACCAAAGGAAGCATGTGTATATCACACCGCAACAGGTTCAAGGAATCATACAAGTTCAAACAAAGCATTAAATAAATAACTCTAAAAAAATCCCACACAGATTGGTTAAAAAGAGGAGTGAAATCTCCTATTTCTATCCTCCATGATGGACACAAAAGCAGATAATAGAAGCAAACTCATACAGCTCAAACTGCAAGACAATGTTGGTATTAAGTACATTCCAAGTGAAGGACTCGTCAACATTATGATCTAAAGCAAAGCTCTTAAAAAAGAACAAAAAAAGGCATACAGCACCTGTAAAGATCTCATGTATTTATACAGCTTTCTGGCTTGTTATCTTTTTCTCTCCAAATAACACTTACTCAGCTCCTTGACCATATTCAAATACTGAACTGACCTGTTCAATGAACCTGTCCATGACAACTCTCAAATACTTCCTGATCAACAGCAGCCAGTTTAAAGCTCATCCCTGTGTAAGGACAAGGCTGCTTTTTCCCTCTTAATGCATTACTCTGCACTTTCTTCTCTCAAATTTTGTGACTTTTTTGAATCAACAGATCTTTTTTAAAGGGAACAGGGTCAGGTTTAGATTTCTGTGTAACCTAAATTATCTCATACAATCTCCACACTACACTTCACCCCCTTTCCAGGTTCTTGAGGTATATCCAAAACAAGGACACAACAAGAACATCATTGGCAACCTCTTCTGATTATGTTAAATGGATTGTTTATCCTTTGTTTTGTTTCATATACATTAACTACTTGCTAATCATTTACTAATTCCTGGAAGACAAGAGGATCCTTCTTCTTGAAGAGTCCTGGCAAGCAATCCTGTCAAAGTCATTTGTGAATTCATGTATAATGTACCAACTGGATCCTCATCAGATATATATTTATCCTTTAAAGAACACCAGTAAATTTAGAAAGTATGACTTCTGATAATCACATTACCCACTGTTTTCTGAAAAGGCATTTAACAGCTCTCAAATACCCTACTTACATAACTGCTGAGGCTCCAAACTTTATTCTGGTCAGAAAAGCTGCAAAATACTCCTTATAACTGGACATTCATATACTTCAATAGATACAATGCATAAGGCTGTCTAAACACTTTCTTCTTTTGCCTCTAGTAGCAATCTCAGTTCCTCAGCTCCAATCAGCACCCTAACTACAGGCTAACAGGTTTTATTTGCAAGTCCTGCACTTGCAGGTAGTGGGCAGTCTGCAAAGATCCCACCAGCACAGGTTCTGCTGGAGGTGACAACTCTTCATGGGTATCTCATTGTAACAGATAAAAGCATGTACATCTCCCAGGATGTTGGGGTTACTCTGCTGCACACCTGTAAGAACAGCAGGGTAAGCATTTACCTACACCCCTTGTCATGCTAAATAGTTAAAATCATCCTTTGCAGGGTTTTGGCCTGGGTCAACCCGAACAGTGTTTTGGGAGGACCTGGAGGGCACATGGTTGGATAGGGCTTTGAGTAACCTAGCCTAGTGGAAGGAGTACCTGCCTGTGGCAGGGGACTGGAACCAGATGAGCTTTAAGGTATCTTCCAACCCAGACCATTCTATGGACTAGGTACCATTTCCATTACCCAGCCTGCATTCCCACGCTGGCTTAGAGGTCTGAACACCTTTAGACAGCCATGCTCCACATACGTGAAAGCTATGCCATGCTAGCTGGCTTCAAAGCAAGACACTAATACCTTACCGGCTTCATTTACTAGTACAGGCATACTCACAGATCTCCTAGATGGCCAATACCTCAGTTAGAGGAACCACTGAAAGCAATTAAACTTACATCCACCACACCAGCTTCATTTAGAGAGTAACATCCAAGTACAGCACTGAAATAAGGCACGGTAGATTTAAAGGCAAGTACAAGACAGAATAAGGAAGACTGCTGTATAGCTCAGAGGAGTAAAGATAAATCAGTATTAACACAACTCAGATTGCTAGAAAAATTCATATTCTTTAGAGCTTGTTACTTAAAGAATCATTCTGAATTTTGCAAATGATTGATTTAAAAACGTTCCACAGATCTTCAGCCTTCCCCCTCAGATTTGAAACTAAGGTTAGAGACCCCTAAACAGATACAGAAGAAGGGCATAAAGACTTTCATTAACTTTTAGAGGGGCTGTTGGGTGCACCAACAAATAACTTTCAAAAATTGATACCTACAGTAGATTTTACAGGTCTATGTATAACATCTCCTACAATAAATGTATATAGATCTAGGGCATCATCATATTCATAAATAGGAAAGTATAATTTTTAACTATCTTAATAGTTGCTTGAAATATACTGGAAAGAACTCAGAATACAAGTGCCATTTATACTCATTTTTCAGAGCGAGCCTGTATCTTGCAGAACCCCAGAAGCTGTGCTGGGATTTTCTTCACTTATGACCACAAACTTGGGTGGATGGATTAAGTTTAGGATAATTAAAAGTTATCACAGCACCTGCATCAGGAAAATAGAAACAAGCATCAAATTGCAACAGTTCTTTCTAGGAGAGAAAGATTAGGCCTTCTCAGTTCAAGTGGTAAGACCAGAAATCAAGTGGATGGCATAGCTGTTGCTTTTCCTACTCCTACCCATTACAAACAAGCCTATTATATAAGCAAAGACAAATTATTACATAAATTTAAAAGTTGCATCAAAAATAGCTTTCCTATTACATTTTTAGGACAGTATACCAACCTTAGAATGCAAAAGCAAACAATATACAAGGTCCCATTTGCTGTCAGAAAGGAAGTTGATTGCAAGATCTCAGGTAGCAGTTTGTACAAATAATAGTCAAGTTTTCGTTTCCTGAGAATAGCTGCAATCTGAGGGAGGAGGGAAGAAGAAAAAAAACAAAAAGGGGGGGACAAACTTTAATGCAGTTCAGCTCTTTTTTTGCACATTGTAAAGAGAAATACAAAAGGAAAACAAGAACCCAGGACACATTGCCCACTGAAGTAGTAAATCAAAGCCTCTTAAGTTTGCTGGGTTTATGAACAATACCACAAAGATTTCCTTTGAACTTGATCCAGCTATTCTGATATTTGTACCAGGAAATACATTGAGTGATTCTAAAGGGGAAATATTGGAGGAATTTTATTAGCTTGTTACCATTGGCCATAATAGTCAGTAACATTGTCTACCAGATACCAGAACCTTCAAGATGTCATAAACTGACACTGAATTTTGTCCTCCAAACAACTGGACTATCACATAAATAAGGTCAGAGTATCACTAAAGTAATCCAAACACAGGCCCTACACAGTATCTATGAAGTGATGATATATTTCTAAAGGTTTTCTATTCCAATTAACCAACTGCAAATCCTCCAAAAAACCGATTCACCATCCCCTGGAATAACAACACATTCCTGACAAGTTTTGTAGAAATGGTATGTTATCCCTAAAAAACTGCCTACAGCAGAAAATGGGTTGGGTCTAAAAAATAAATGTTCTCTTTGGTCAGTTTAATGTATGGCCCATGTTCTACAAAGAGCAGTTAATGACTCAAACACTAAAGGTTCTCAGACTCTTGTATGCACCTATCTAATGGGAAGGTATAGAGAACCAGGCTCTGCTTGAGGTACCCAGGGGTAAGACAGAAGGCAACATACAAGTTCAAGTATGAGAAACTCAGATTAGACCTACAGAAGAAAAATTTTCACTTGAGGTTAGCAGATCACCCAAAGCAACTATGGACTCTCCATCACTGGAGATCCTCAAAACCCGACGAGAAAAGGCCGCAAGTGACCTACCTCATCCAGGTGTGAGCAGGAGGCTGGTGGACCAGCCTCTCTCTGACCTGTGTGCTCCTGTAACTTCACAAAATTATACTTTAGTTTCATCATGAAATAAATTTTATTGGGCTTTTTAATTCTTTTTAAAAGCATTATTATATTTACCTGCACTGACGTCCCAAGGAGGGACTGGCAGCAGCTGTCTGTCAATGCTTAGAATTAGAGAGGTCCCAAACAAAGCAAGCTTCCTGCTACTGCTGCTGATGAGAACAGCAAAAGACATCCTGCCAAACTGGTACTGGCAACACCTCTCAGAGTCCTGGTTCCTCAATTGAAAAATATGGGAGAGGGACCTGTTCTGAAACACCGTCCACTCAGACAGAATAGCAAGTAGATGTTTTACACTCAGAGATGGGCCAAGGATTCTACTAAAACCCACCCCAGGAAAGTTCTGCCAAAACCTGTTTCCAAAATGAAGCTTGAGCTAACTATTAAGGAAGAGTACATGCATGAACAAACCTCCCAAACTAGATTTACACATTACTTAATCAAGTGTCAAGGCTGATTAAACCATATGGAGTAGGCAACAAAGCAATCCAGAGAAGCTTTCTGTTGAAGGAGACTCTTCTTGCAGTTTAAATACCAGAACACCAGTTGCTATCTCCACAGCTATATCCTGCCTATTGCACAAAGGTCCTGAACATCTGGAACAAAATATCTTGTTTTAAGAACACAGACCTTACACCTGAAGCCTTCCTCCTCAGACCAAAGCATCCCAAGTGTAACAGGAAAACATTAATGTCAAATCAAAGTCAAAAATTTACTTCTGCAGCTTCTTCCCCAAGTTTTAGATGTTACCAACTTGGACACACCTCGCTCAAGTGAATCAGGGGGACACTGTGATGAACGCTAAATTCTAACAGCAAATGCACTACTCAAGGTTTGGCAGCAGCTGTTGCTAGCAGAGAGCAGCACAGAAAGAGAGGGCATCAGGACATCTAGTAGATACTTCCTTGGCAAAATACTGCACCCTACAAAGATGCTAACAACAGATGGCCGAAGGTCTGAAAATTACTTGAGACTCCCTGTAGAGTCAGACAGAAAGGAACACCTCACTGACATTAAGGTCTCAGCTCTTCAGGTAAAAGGAACATGCAAATCCTAGGACATGTCTTCGGCACCTCAGGGTGGTCTGTATCAGGATAACTGTAATAGTTTGGGGTGTTATTTACTGTGAGAATCATAGAATTGTTTGGTTGGAAAGGACAGGACTGCTATCCTGATGCAGCTCACTGATCCAAGCAGCTGATGATGATGTATCCAAGACTGGCCAAAACCAGCTCCATACCTCCCATTATTCTTGTCACCTTTCTCTATATCTTAGTTTCACTTTTTCTTTTTTGAGATGAAGTGACAACAATCTTATAAAGCAAAATTATTTGGTGCTTACCAGCTGCTGTAGATTTTCAGCTCTACTATGATAGCACAGCACATACACAACAAAAGCAGAGTACTGCTGTGAGAGATAGTGCTACCATATGAAACTGAAATCCAGGGACAGGAGCAACACACTTCTCAAACCACTCTTAAGGCCATGAATTCACGGCAGAGAAAAGCACAATCCACTTCCTGTGATGCCTCTCTATTTCTGAGTCTGTAGTGCTTGTCCTGCATGTTACACTTCACGAAAAGGGGAATACTGCCCAATAAAAAATCTCTGAACCAGGGAGAGCATCACTGGATATTGTACTTATGAGGGTTAATTATATGTGCATCTGGATGAAATTAGACAGGTCACAACACTGCAGTCCTCAGACAACCACACCTTTATATGCTACAGTCAGACAAGACAAATACATGACTCCTTAATAACATCTCCAAGTGAGAAACTGATGAGATGAAATATAACCGACTGTCCTTGGGTGACATCTGTGCCCTACACACACACTGGAAGAAGGGGGTGTTAAGCACCTGCCAGCCTGACTTCCAGAGAAATATTTCTGACCCCAAACAAGATTAATCTGGCTCTAAGAATGTGGTCAGGTAAAACCTCTTGAATAAAGTAAGTCATGCATGGTGGAAAGAAGCTTTGCTTTCCACACCTGAGGAGTGATTCAGCACTGCCCAGTGCCCAATTACCACTGTGGGAAAACTGCAAACAGAAAGACTCTGACTTATTTTTAAGACAAAGACCTCCTTTCCTCACTTCTGCACTCAATGTTTAAAACTTGAAACCCCAAACTCCATTAGCCCTCCATGGAGGCCTGCTAGTGTTCAGCAGCTTCTGAAGACAATCCCAGCCCCTTGTTACTTACAAAGGGAACCAACAGCAGGACTGACGCCTGGCAAAAGAGACATGACCACAAACCTGTCCTCCAAAATCCTGTAATATACAAGCACCAGTTCCTAAACAACTCATTATCGTTTATGCTCTTAGCCCAGACTGGAAGATTTCTCCTTCTCCTGTTCATCAACCCAATGTAAACTGACCACAGATTTACTCTCCAGTGGTAATCACTCAATTTCCCTGACAGCTTAAAACAAGCTCTGATTTAATTTTCCCTAAAACACTTTGGACATTACCACAGAATCACAGATGGGTTGGAAGGGACCTCAAAGACCATCTAGTTCCAAACCCCCCTGCCATGGGCAGGGATAACTTCCACTCCAAGCCACATCCAGCCTGTCCTTGAATACTTCCAGGGATGGGGCACCTTGAAATATAGAGGCAGAATACTCATATATAAGGAAAACTATTTAACTAAAAAAAAATGCTATGAAATTATATTTATCATCCATGGAAAAGCCATGAGACAGAGGCTACTACATCTCTAAGACTGGTTTCACATGAACAAAAATGAGGGCAGAAGAAACTTGGGGTTCAGACTTTTGTATGGAGAAGAGCTGGAAGGAGATCACCCTTCAATCAAATGCAAACACTCCTGAAGTTACACACTAGTCACTCCAAGAATACATATTGCTCATTATTTGAGCTCTAAGGCCTACAGTATTTTATGCCTGAAATATTTAAAAAAGCCTACTCAGTAAAACTACAAAGAGAAATACAAAGAGAAAATATTTTCTAGCATTACCTACAGAATTCACACAACTGCATTTAGACTGCCCATTATGAAAACGTAACTATGAAAAATCAGCCCACCAGACTGAGGACACCATCAGGCTGCAGAAGAGCATTACTGAAGTCCTTTCTTTTTTTAATTTAGTATTCATACACAAATTTTCAGCCCTGTAGAACTAAGAAATCACAATTAATTTATTCTGCCCTAACCATGGAATCAATGTACGTATTTCCAAACCCATCCATAAAGCACAGCTACATAGCCTAATGCAAGACCTTGAGCTAGGCTATATCTGTGTTCCAGCAGAAAAGGAACACAACACAAAGCCAAGCTTTCCCATGACCAGAGGCACCAGTCAGGCATGATTATTTCAATCATGCGTCATGTAATGCCTACAAATACCCATCATCCAACCACAACAATCTGAGCTTCACCTCCAGTATACTCAGTCTTCACCTACATCCCCAAATCAGAGATTCCAGAGGCAGCATCGCACACAAAGGATGGTTCCACTTAATGAACATACTAATTGCCTGACAAATGCATAGACAGGTTACATGGCAGGCTAAAAACCACCAACCTTTCACTAACTTTCATTGCGTGTATGGCATTTTTCCTCTCCCTCCTCCATCAAACTACCATTTCCTAAGTTCGCACTTAGCATATGCCTTTAAGAACACGACCCCTCCATCAAACCGGTGAAATTAGCCAACACGTACAGCACTGACTGCTAGGAACTGGAGAAAAACAAAACAAAACAAAAAACACCAAGCAAAACACTATCATCTCTCTCTCATTCCTTCACAATATCCGACTAAAATCACAGAATGGTTTGGGTTGGAAGGGACCTTAAAGCTCATCCAGTTCCAGTGCCTTGTCATGGGCAGGGTCACCTTCCATCAGACCAGGCTGTTCCAAGTCCTGTCCAACCTGACCTTGAACACTGCCAGGGATGGGGCAGCCACAGCTTCTCTGGGCAATCTCTGCCAGCACCTCACCACACTCACAG